ACTCTGTTCTTAGTTTTCTTTTTTAATCTGGTCAGATTTTAAAAAACATGAATCACACACATATCACTCTGATCCCTCATATTCATAACCCTGAGCTCATTTCTCTCTATAGACCAATAAGTCTTTATGGTGTAGTCTATAAAATCATTTCTAAGATTCTAGCAAAAAGGCTCAAAAAGTGTCTAAATCTGTGTGTAGATATGTGACTCCTACTAGAGGAATTAGGCAGGGGGACCTACTATCCTCTTACATTTTTATTTTGATTTCATAAATCCTCACCCACCTCATGACCTCATAAATCAATAACAAAAAATTTTCTGGTATTAAGATCTCCAAACACGGCCATCTGCTTTCACATTTGCTCTTTGTATATGACACCCTAATATTTACTAAAGCAGATAACAAACAATTTATGGTCTTACTGCAAATTCTTCAGCAATATCAAAAATTTAACAGGCCAAAAAGTGAACCTTGATTGATCAACCATCTTCTTTAGCAAAAACACTCCATTATCTGTCTAAAACCAAATCTGCCAAACTTTTTTGGGTGTAACCTCTCACTCTTCAGCCATATACCTGGAGCTACCTCTTGCGATTGGGAAATCAAAAATTGAAACATTTGCCTATGTGGAAGAAACTGTTAAAAACATAATTTTAAATTGGAAAAATATAATTCTTTATAATGCAGGTAAGGAGGTTCTCGTGAAAGTTGTCCTAGGAGCTCTTCCAATATAGTCGATGTCTTGTTTTCTCCTACCCAAAGCAGTGATCAAGAAAGTCTCTCAACACCTTCTGGTGGAGCAAAGATGATCCAAGCAAAAAGAACATCCACTGGAGATCATGGAGCAGACTTTCACTCTCAGAAGACAAGGGACGGCTTGGATTTCAAGACTTCCATCTCATGAAAAAAGCCCTCATTGCGAAGCAACTTTAGAGGATACTGACCAAACCAATTCCCCTGGTAAGCAAAGAAAAAAAGAAAAAAGCAGCAACTCTTCACTACAAAGAAAAAAAAAACAACAACATTTCTTGGATGCGGAACTCTTGGATCACTGTCACAGACTCCTTACAACAAGGTTCCAGGTATAACATAAAAAATGGAGGCAAAATCAACATATGGGAGCAGCCATGGGTTTCTAACTTGCCAAGATTTAAATAAGCTCACAACACCTTTCTAGAGCTAAGTTCACTTGGGTCAAATACCTTTTAGACTCAATAGGTAGGCAATGCAATAGAGATTTGGAGAGATGTTTTCCCAAGCATGAAAGTGAAGAAATACTCAAGATAAAAGGGTTTAATCCTACTGCTGAGGACAAGCTACTCTGGGATGATGAGTATACGAGATTGTTTTTAGTGGCTTTAATTTACACCAAGCTTGTGGGGGAAAAATGGAGCTTAATTGATGTAGTTGGAAGCAGCAGATTTGACAGCTCAAAATCAAAGGAAAAATCAAACACTTCCTATGGAAATGTGTTGAGAACTTACTTCCTGTCAACAGTAACCTGAGCATGAACAGAATGCAACTAGACACAATATGCAAGGCTTGTGGGGAAGCTCCTCAAACACAAGAACACATGTTCTTTCATTGCTCTAGATCAAAGCATATTTAGAAACTCTTATCTGCTGGGAAGGTAATCAGCAACCTCTGAGGTAAGACTGCAGATCACTTCTTACATTCTATGGTGGATTTGGAAAGAAAGAACCAACGCACTTTCAACAATTTATTATGGAGACCGAAAAATTCTATTGTTAATAAAGCTTTTGAGGATTGGTTGGATTCTTCTAAGTGTGTTGGTTAGTTAGTTAGTTGTCCTTGTGGTTTTTGCTTTTTTTCTAGCTTAGTTTTCTTTTATTTGACTGTAGTGTTGCTTTTGTGAATCATTTTGCTAGGTACTTTGGGTTCAGTAATCATTTGTTCTTTTACCTTGTTGTTTATAATTTCAGCAGGGAATGAAGATCAAACTATTTGTTTCAGTGCATTTGATACTGTCGTTGGGTAGAATATCATTCCTTTTCTAGTTTTTTTGTTTAGGGCACTAAGGTTTGGTTTTCCTCAGCTCGATTTCTATCCCTTGGATAGACTTTGTAGGCTACTTACCCTTCGGTTGTACTCTTTGTTTCGGGAACAATAATATCTATTGTTTCGGAAAAATAAATGACCTTTCCATCTCGGGCCGAAATTCATATTGCGGACTTATATAGGATTAATCCTGATTACAGGGGTTATAGGGTATGAACCGGGTAAAGGGGGCTGCTGTGGGTAACTAACAGCAGCCCCAGCAGCTAATTTTCAGCCTTTGATTACAAATAAATTAAAAGGCAATCCAATGGCTAAGAAATAAATAAGGAATTAAACATAACTTTCAACACTCAACACAAGACACTCTATCCACGCATGAAAAGGGGAAAAAAGGGCCACCAGAATTTACCCACTTTTCTGGATTATGTGCTGAATGGGAGAGTGTGAGATTAGTTTTGACTGCAATGGGCTTTAACTCTGCATTTGTGAATTGGATTATGTGTCGCATCTTTTCATCTTCCTTCTCTTTTAATGTTAACAGTGACGTGTGTGGTTATGGCAATCCTTCCAGAGGTCTACGGTAAGGAGATCCATTATCTCCTTATCTTTTCATCCTTGTCTCTCAAATTCTCACTCACCTGATTAACCTGGAAGTGAATAAAGGCTCTTTGTAGGGTATCAAACTTGGGAAGCATTGCTCCCTTCTGACACATTTATGCTTTGCGGATGACTTGTTTTTGTGAAAGCGGATCTTGCTCAAGCTATAATCTTGCAAAAAATTCTAACTTCTTATCAGAACCTCACTGGCCAAAAAGTGAACCTATCTAAATCCTCTGTCTTTTTTAGTAAAAATACACCTTTGAGCACCCAACTGAAAATTTGTAATGTCCTGCAAGGTTTAACAGCTGTCTCATCCTCCAAAAACCTGGGACTCCCCCTAGGTATTGAAAAGTCCAAAAACAGCACCTTTGCTTTTGTTGTGGATTCTGTGAATGCAAGAATTGGTAGTTGGCAGAACAAGTCTCTCTCTTTTGCAGGCAAGGAAGTGTTAATAAAGGCGGTATTGAGTGCATTACCCACATATGTATATTCATGCTTCCTGATGCCTCAATCTGTGACAGCAAAGATCTCCAGCTCAATTGCTAACTTCTGGTGGCAAAGCAAAGACAAGAGTAAACAGGGCATACACTGGAAATCTTGGGATCAGCTTACCTTGCCTAAGGACAAAAGATGTTTAGGCTTTCATGACCTTCATTTATTCAACAAAGCACTCATTTCCAAACAACTTTGGAGGCTACTCTCTCACCCGAATTTGCTCGTCAGCAAGGTAATTAAGGGGTTGTATTTTCCAAAACATGATCTTTTTAATTGCAAAACCCAAGCACAACAGTTCATGGCTCTGGAAGAGTTGGTTGAAAGTGAAAGATTCAATGCAAAGTGGTCTGATGATAGAAGTTTACGATGGGAAGTCCACAAACATTTGGGGACATCCATGGATCCCTAAACTGCCAAATTTCAAACTCTCTGAAAACAATCCACTCAGACATGTATGTAAACAGGTTAGTGAGCTTATGGAGGACTCCGGAAGAAAATGGAACAGGCAACTTATTGAAGAAAACTTTCAAAAACCGGAAGCAGATGCAATCCTGGGTATTTCAAGGCTTGATCCACATAAGCCTGACAGGATCATATGGATTTGGAGTATAAACGGGCAATTCTCGGTTGCATCTGCTTATGCCAATCTAATTGAGAAGAAATGGCACTCTCTAGACCTGCGTGAGGGGAGCCGGGAGCTAATTCATCTTAAAGCTGCAAGAAGAAGAACCTAGAATCTCAAACTCAATGGAAAACTCAAACATTTCATTTGGAGATGCCTAAACAACACTCTTCCTGTGATGAGCAACCTCTCAGCTAAAAGATTGAAGATAGATTCAATATGAAAAATCTGTGGGGAAGGCCAAGAAACACTGGAACACCTCTTCTTCACTTGCAGTAGGGCCGCATTAATTTGGAAAATTGCACCAGTGTCATGGGAAGGTTTGCAGGGATGTACTGTCTTTCAAGGCTTAGTGGCTCAAACTTTGTTCTCTCCCCCATAACTCCATCTCAGAAGACAGAATGCAGCTCTCTACGTACTTACTTTGGTGGATATGGAAGACAAGGAATCTATGGATTTTTGAAAACAAGCTGAGGCCGGAGGCAGCCACGGTTAGCATAGCTTGGAAGGAGTGGCTTGAGTTCAATAGTATTTAACCTTAGTTGTACATAGTATGTTTTTAGGGGATCATATGTCTTCTTCTTTGTTCTGTTTATTTTTGTTTCCTTAGGTTTTGTTAACAAACTAGGCTGTGGGGGCAGTGGTTTGTTAATTTTGCTGTTGGTTTGGTCATATTGCTTTCTAGCCTGATTTTATCTTTTGTAGTATTGTTTGTATCAGGTAAACGGTTCCAGAGCAGCTCTCTCTGCCGTTTACGGATGCAATCATTCCCTTTCATTTAGGAAGTTATCCTTCCTCATTTGTATTGTATAGGGTCAGTTGGCCCTCGTGACTTTGTAATTTCCCGTGAGTTATATTATTCATGTCGTTTTGAAAAAAAAATAAAAAAATAAAAAAATAAAAAAANCACTTTTCACGCATCATGAGAACTCAAAATTGTTAAGAAGATTAAAATTGAGAAGATTAAAAGTTTAAAATTGGATACTGCCGATTTATCAAATCCCAAACTCATGATCTCCACTAGCGCAGCAAAATTCCCTCTTTCGCTCCCGAATTAAAAAACCGAAGGTTAGATTACTCTCCAATTTTCATCGTGTTTAACCTAATCGCACACAGATTGCTCGAAAGATGTTTTTTTTTTTTTTTTTTGGTCAGTTTTGATGATGTGACTTTGCGATTTTGGAATCAATCCTGGTCTCCAAAGACGTGCAGTCGCTTAATCGAGTTGACTCTCCCTTGAAACAGCTGATGAGAGACGAATCTCTTCTCGTTCTCAGAGAAATTGCGATGGAGACGGTCGAGATCAAGCTTGTGTCTTGATTTTCTATTCGCGTGTTTGCTCTAATCGGTGTGTTGAGGTGTTGTCTCTGTATTGAAATTTGAAAATTATGTTTAATTCCTAGTCATTGGATTCCCTTTTAATTTATTTGTGATCAAAGGTTGAAAATTAGCTACTGGGACTGCTGTTAGTTACCCACAGCAGCCCCCTTTACCCATATGAACCCACTGGAAAGTTCCTTTCTGTTTTATGGGCCGGCCCATTAGATATATAAATTAGCTTTCCTTCCCCCAAATGACTGATCATTATACACCGCGTCATCGTTAGCTTTTGATTTCCCGGTTGAATAAGGGTTTCCATGGCGACCGTGCCTACTACCACGGCGGACGCAGCCGCTTCTTCATCTTACACATATGCTGCCGGAACCACATCCTATTTTCCGACGCCGTTCCACCTTCAACAGACTCCTCCGCCGCCTCCGGTACCCTACATCGGCGCCGCACCTCCGCCCACTGTTCCCACCGTCCCGCCGCCCGTTTATCCGGCTGCTCCTGCCGTCTACACGATGCCGCAGTATCAACAGGTAATTATTTTGATTTGTTTCCGGGCTTCTGATTTACTGGAGATGATGAGGCGTATTGAATATTTGGTTTACTGTTTTTACAGCTTTCATGCTCCAATCCCACAAATAGAGAATCCTCAATTTTATTCATTTGATGATCCACATTCTGTAACTAGGGTTCTGTTAATATCTTCAAATGGATTAATTTCGACCACATTGGCAGTAAAATAGAATGATTTCTTTTCTTTTTTCCACATATTCCCTTACGGGTTTCTTTTTTTTTTTTTTTTTGNTTTGGGATGTGGACAGGCACAGCAATTGTTTCAGAGGGATGCACAAACAATAACACCAGAAGCTCTTGAAAGTGTGAAAGCTGCACTTGCCAGCAGTGATGTGGAGCACAAAGCAGAAACTAAGAAGAAGGCGATTCCTCGGACAGCTGCTGGGCAGACTTGGGAGGATCCCACTCTTGCAGAATGGCCTGAGAGTATGAACATTTTGCTCATAATGCTGACGTTTACCTATAATTCATTTTTGTTTTTTGCCTTTGCGGTGTTATTTGTTTTACCATCACTTAGCACCATGATCAGTCTTTCTTTACTTTCTTTTGCTGTCATTTCTAGTTGATTATGGTGTATCTTTTGTAGCTTATTATTTTTTGATGTGTTGGAATCTTGCAGATGACTATCGTCTATTCTGTGGTGATCTTGGAAATGAAGTGAATGATGATGTTTTGTCCAAAGCTTTTTCCAGGTTTCCTTCATTTAACATGGCCAGGGTATGTTTTCTTCTAACTCAATAGGATTTAAGTTTGTGTGTATTCATTTATACAATTTATTTTGAGTGCCATACATGAACATTTGCATATCCTCCTCAGATGTTAATTTGAAGTGAATGGGGCCCTCCATTGATTCTTATGTCATAAGGTAGTTCTTGTTTTAATTCCATGTTGTATTTCTCACAATGCATTGGATTGTTAGTTGTTGAACACAGGCAATTTACACGTTTAGTTTGCAGTGTATATTTGTATTAACGGTTCAAATTTCATATGAGTAGAAAATGACATGCGCAGGCCTGATCTGATGGCAATTTCCATGTGGCACCGAAAAGAGTGAGTGGTTGCTAAGAATAGGTGTCGAAGTTGGTTATTGATATGTAGTGCGCCATCATCTTTGTAACTTAAGTTGGTCAAATCTCTGGAGTTCCTTATCCATCCATTTAAAATATTTAGTTATTCCAGAACTGTTTGAACTTTAGAAAGCATTTAAAAAGTTAAAAACTAAAATTTTGTAAAGATTTTTGCTGAGTAGTAGACAAAAGACTTGATTGGAAAGTTTAATGTATGCTTGTCGATAGGCTTTTGACCTTGATGCGAACATGCATGTGCTTTATAGTTGTAGATATTTGGGTACAGCTTATCCTCAGTTACATTTAATTACTGCATTTCTCAACTAACTCCAGCAATTATAATTTCCATACACCCTCTTTCACGAGAATTCTGATCGACACTTTTATGTTCGAAGGTTAATTATTAAATTCTGTGTGAAATGCAAAGCCTCTCATTTGTTTTGGATCAGGTCGTTAGAGATAAACGTACGGGCAAGACAAAGGGCTATGGGTTCGTAAGTTTTTCTAACCCAACTGACTGTGTAGCGGCCATCAAGGAAATGAATGGTGAGTTGTGTGCCTTCTGTTAAGTATCTGACTGTAGATCAATATCAGATTTTTATAACCCAACAAAAGTATCATCGTTGTTTTAGGGAAATATGTTGGAAACCGTCCAATCAAACTTCGAAAGAGCACCTGGACAGAAAGGACTGACAAGGAAGCCCTGGAAAGGCAAAAGGTGAGCATGGCTTGGTTGTGAATATTTTTTAGCTACTAATGTCTTTGTATTTTTTGATTAAGATTTTTTATTTTTATTTTTTCTTTATCTTTTGACAGAAACAAGGTTACAAGAAATCAAAAGCACCTAAGAAAGGCGTGTTCCATAAATGAGAGCCTGTGTTTTGGGGCAACAAAGATTAATGAGATCAAGTTGGATCTGAAGAACACCCGAACCTAAATTCAAAGGTGTATCATTAACTTTACTTATTGTCGTTAAACGTTGGTGTTAGAGTGAAAGGACTAAATTTAAAATTATGGTCGAGCATTTGTGCGGTTGTGTTTGACTGCTATTTTTATTTGTAAAAGAATATGCTTTCATATCATTTGTTCGTATAAACTAGTAACATTTTTAGCACCAAGAATCAAGAAGCAGATCCCATATAAACTAGTAATTTTAATAAGATTAAACTTAACCAACAGCTGGTAGCTCAAACATTCAGTAGTGATGTTAAAGTTTTGAATCTATCTGCCAAAAATAGGAGTTCTATTCGTCTCAAAATTCTTCAACTTCCTCCCTTTGGCCATCACTTAAATTATTAGTTTCATTATTGGGATATAGTATGGACCATTAATCGTCAGTTAACAAAAATTATAAAAATAAATTTCCAGTAAGGAATAGCACGACCCTTTCTTATTTATTCAGTAACTTCTACACACCGCATAAAAGTGCACCTGTGGCTATATTTGGAATGATTACCTGGGAAGCTGCAAGCCACTTCATTATGACATGTTTTTCCAAAAATATGAGAATTCGGGTCTTCTGTTGCAATTACATCCATATTTTCATGTTTGACATATTAAATCAAATCAATCCCACTTTGCAACCAAACTCACCCTCAGACCATTTTTATTCAAAACTCAATCCAACTCAACCTAGTAATCAAAAATTAATTTGTCTCTGCTTCACTTCACAATTCAACCTTTCAATTAAAATTATCTTTATTCTCAACTCAACACAACTTAAAATATTTATTTTATTTATATTTATTTAGAAATTGTAATTATGTTCCAAAAACTATCAAATGTAGTTTCTATTTATATAAATGAAAAAACTACGAATTTTAGTATTTTTATTATTTTTTTTAACACAAAAAGTACACTTGTTCAATAAAAATGAGACAAGTGTCTCATTCTCAAACAACAAACCGGTCGCAACATTGATGACTTTTTTTTTCTTTTTTTTTTTGGTCGATATCCCGTGACCCAACTCTTGAGCCATGGATAAACATGGTCTTATAGTAAATTAATAAACATAAATTTGAAAATTAAGGACATGTGTGGATGAATGGTGGATTTTTTAGATAGTAATAACTGATATTGATTATTTGAGAACAAGTTAATAAATTTTTTTAATTGTATCGTAGTTACAATAAAAATATATCATAAAAACTGGAAACACATATATACAATTTTTCTTGTCAGCGGCAGAAGAACAAACACAAACATTACGGAGGTGCACAAAAATGGAATACACACCACATCATCAAGAATCAAGAGTCCTTAAATTTTCCAAGCCCAAATACTTTCTCCCGATTTCAAGTTTTAATCAGTCCCCAAGATCTAACATTGGAATCTGCATTTGCACATTTGTAGGCTAATAATAGTAATGTAATAGTCCACTATACACGAAATAGCCACATATATCGTTTCTTCACGTGTCATTAGCAATTATCTTCGCTGCGCCTCTTTAACTCAATTTTTTTCCAATAAAATCCATTTGTATGGGAAAATAAATACTATGAGCGAGCACATTTTACTTCATAAAGCTCAGATTTTTTGTCGCCTCTTTCATTTTCCTCACGCACTTCTAGTTCATTCATAGAAATGGACTGTCCTTTCGTGGCGCACTGCAATTTTGGCTGTAATTCCAGATTTGCTTCTGTTAATAATTCAGCGTATGCTCATAAGAACAGCCCTTCTGCTTTTTTTCTTCACCAGAAGTTTCCAGCTGCTCGTAGAAAATGTCTTGGCTTGTTTTCTGTCGGACCCTCTAAAAGGGGTTCGTTTAAAATGACAGTGTCTGCCGTTTCCCCGGTCGAAACCAGGTAAAGTTTTATACTTCATCGTTGATTCTAATTTTCTTGATTAAAATTCCGAACTTTAAGTAAAAGATATGATGATATCTGGAAATGAACTGGAAAAACCGAGAAAGAATCTGCTTATGGGATGGTAATTTCATGATAAAGATTGAATCTTGCTGTTGAAAATTTAAGTTTTACGATCAAATGTGCTGGAGGGATTGCTGATTTCTCTTAGCTTTCAAAAATAATGAAATTTCCTATTTCTATGTATTATGTTATAGGGAAGATGAGGATCTTAAGAAGGATAAGAAAAAGAAAAGGCAGTCTATGAAATCGAGTGGTGGTTACAAGGTGAAGGTGAATTTCAGGCTCGATCACCAAGTCAAATTCGGTGAACACGTGGCCATTTTGGGGTCCGTGAAGGAATTGGGTTCATGGAAGAACAAAGTCATGATGACTTGGACCGAAAATGGATGGGTTTGTGATTTGGAGCTAACAGGAAGCCAAGACCCAATCGAGTTTAAATTCGTGATAGATGGAAAAGACAAGGAGGGATTAACATGGGAAAGTGGCGATAATCGTGTTCTGAAATTCCCGGGTAAAGGGAGTTTCAATGTTGTTTGTAAATGGAACAATACTAGTGACGAGGTGGAATTTTTTCCGCTGGATGAGGAGAAAGACGATGAATTTGAAGTCGAGACACGAGAAAGTGAAAATGGGAATATTGTGTTAGACCAAGCTGTTACCACAAGTGCATTTGTCGAGCAATGGCAAGGGAAAGATGTCACGTTTGTTCGTTCAAAGGATGGTTTTGATGCAGAAAAGAGTAGAAAATGGGATACATTGGGCCTTGAAGGGATTTCTTTGAAGTTAGTGGAAGGCGATCGTGATGCTCGAAATTGGTGGAGGAAGGTATTAGTTTACTGTGACCTCCTCTTTTATCCCTTATCTCATCCATGTACTTTCAATGTCTTTTCCATTCTTATGATGAGTCAGACAGACTCCTCCATGATCCATATAATATGGTGATATACTTGCCAATTACAAAACGTGCAGAGAAAATTNAGAAAAAAAAAAAAAAAAAAAAAAAAGGTTTAGTTCTGTCTTATGTATGTGGATATAACTGTAGTACTGTTTAAGAATGTAAGGGATATACTTTTTTAGGATGTTAACAGCTTTTTTGAAAGAGCCATATTATTAAGACTAAAATATGTTTGTTCTGCATTTCTTTGTTGCAAAGCTTGAAGTTGTTCGACAACTTGTGGTTGAAAACATTGAGGACGATAAGCGTCTGGAAGCTCTCACGTATTCCGCAATTTATCTGAAGGTTTTATCATACATTTGTTAGTCTTCAATCTGCTCAACTGACCAGATTAATGTATTGCCTTTGTAAGATTGTTTTGATTTTCATGTAGTGGATAAACACGGGTCAGATTCCTTGCTTTGAAGACGGAGGCCATCATCGGCCAAACAGGCATGCTGAGATTTCCAGGCTTATATTTCGCGAATTAGAAAGAATTTCCAGCGGGAAAGACACTTCACTTCAGGTAAAAGTAAAACTTTCTGCTGATTTGTAACTTAAATCGAAAATTACCAGAACTGTCCCTGAGATTCAACTTAAATACAAAATTCTCCAGTTACTATGTAATTTTTGAGGGTAAATCACTTTCTATTATGTTGTTAGCTTGTTTCTTTTCTATCTTTCCTCTTTACATTTTTTTTGTTTTAATTAGGCCTTCCTGACAATTACCTTCTATAATGTGTAGGAAAAACTTGTCATCCGCAAGATTCATCCTTGCTTACCATCTTTCAAGGCTGAGTTTACAGCATCTGTACCTTTAACAAGAATTCGAGATATTGCTCACAGGAATGATATCCCTCACGACCTTAAGGTGTCACTTAAGTACTCTTATTTTTAAGATTCTTGTTTTCATGTGAATATTTTTTAAAGCAATTGACATAATATTAGTAATTTTCAGCAAGAAATTAAGCATACAATACAAAACAAACTTCATAGAAATGCTGGCCCTGAGGATTTAGTTGCTACAGAAGCAATGCTTGCAAGAATTACGAAAAATCCTGGAGAATACAGTGAAGCTTTTGTCGAGCAGTTCAAGATATTTCATGGAGAGCTGAAAGATTTCTTCAATGCTGGAAGGTACTCTACATACATTTATTTCTTTGTTCTGCATTGTTAAGTGTATTAATGAGAATAATATATATTACAAACATTTTATTCTTTATTAGAGCAAACACTAATGGCCTAACTATTCTGATTCCAACCTGTCACCCTTTTGCATCTAACTGTTTTTTTGTCCACTTAAATTGAAAATTTCCATAAAAATGCCACACGATGATGAAATAAAATAGTTTGTGTTTCATTAGCAAAAAAGCTATTATATCTTTTATTTTGTTAGCTAATTCCTGAATTTGTACTCTTGAGCACATATCAAATCTTGCTTGGAGAATAGAATTTCATTCATCAATCCGTCATGTTTTAATAATCGTTTGCTAATAATCCTCATTAATGAAGTCTGGAAGAACATCTGGAATCTATCAGAGATTCTGTGGATTCAAATTCAACAGCCATATCTCTGTTTTTAGAATCAAAGCAGGTATATTTCCTTGTAGCTTTAGTCACAGGTGCTTTTTTGTGTGTGTGTTATGCAAACTTTCATTGGTTCAATTGTTTCAGATACTGGACAACACGGACAGTAGCAGTAATATTTCGGAAAGTGCACTAATAAATATGTTGATGAGAACAATGCAAGCTCTGGATACACTTCGCCAAGAAATAGCAAAGGGTCTCGAAAGTGGACTCCGAAATGATGCTCCTGATGCTGCAATAGCTATGCGCCAAAAGGTGACATTGCCTTTGTCTCCATATTCATTTATTGTTCTATCTATTATTTTTCTTTGTATGCTCGAAAGCAAGATGGTAACTCAATAATCTGCATGAGTGCAGTGGAGGCTTAGTGAGGTTGGACTTGAAGACTATGCATTTGTTCTCTTAAGCAGGTACATGATGTGATTATTGTTTTAATGGTTCCTTCTTTAGTAATTAGGTTATTTAATATTAATCAATTATTATTAAGTCAACTGGATTGAACCCTGACGGAGTTTTTCCGCAAAAAGATCAAATAAGTGGTTCATTGAAGCAGAATCTTATGTAAATGTCTTATTTATGGGTAATAATCAAACTAGAAGAAGAATTTAAGTACTGGCATTCGAAAACACTGAAGAGTAACCCCATTTTTTTTTTTTTTATTATTTTTTTTTTCTGGAACGTGTATGTAAGATGAATTAAACATGAAAGTTTGTTGGTATTTAAAACCTGAACATGCCAATTACAGGTTTCTTAATGCACTTGAAGCTGTTGGAGGAGCCCACTGGCTAGCTAAGAATGCAGAACAAAAGAATGTTAACTCTTGGGGTGATGCACTTAGCGCTCTAATCATTGGCATTCATCAGTTGGGCCTATCGGGCTGGAAGCCCGAAGAGTGCAGAGTGATCCGTAAAGAACTCATGGCATGGCAAGATAGAGGTCTTCAAGAAACCGAAGGTGCCTTTTCACTTCAATAAATGCGTGGTATTGGTCATATTTAACTATTACTGATTTTTTCCACTATTATACTTTATGGTAATCACTAAAAGGTAGTGAAGATGGTACGAGAATATGGGGATTAAGGCTTAAAGCTACACTTGATAGAGCCAAGAGACTGACTGAAGAATATTCTGAGGCACTTCTTCATATATTCCCTCAAAAAGTTGAGGTAAAAAATAAAAACGTTTTTAGTAATTATTTTTTCTATGTTGTGTAACATGTATGTTCAAATAACCTGATCCTGATTTACTTTTCGTAGCTTATATTTTCATAAATTCATGCATTATACCTTTGCAATTTCATTCTCCAAAATTAGTATTTGAATTTTCATTACAGATTGGCCCAGAAATAAAACCATTTCATTAATATATATTTTTTGATAGAGTAAGGTGATTGAGGGAATAAAATGGAAATTGACTATATATAAAACATAACAAATTTATGATTCAACTATTGAGAAACTGGGTGATTTTTGGGCATTGCAGACATTAGGAAAAGCTTTTGGGATTCCTGAAAATGCTGTGAGGACGTACACTGAAGCTGAGATTCGTGCGAGGTATGGTTCTCAATATTATCAGTTGTATTATTTTTTCAAAATTTAATAAGAATCACTGCATAAGTAAGTGTGTGAACATTTTTTACGTACTTTTGATGTCGTTACATCTATCTAAGTTTTTTTTCCCCCTCCAAATGGAATGCAGTGTGATCTTTCAGGTTTCAAAACTTTGCACCCTTCTCTTGAAGGCTGTTAGGAATGTCGTAGGATCTGACGGTTGGGATATACTTGTGCCGGGAGATGCTTTTGGAACCCTCGTCCAGGTACTCTTTAACTTCTGCCTTCAGGATGCATGGATATATGGATTGTTGAAGATTAAAGAAAAAATTGCTTTTGTGTCATTCAGTATAAATGTTTGCCCTGATATGTGATCCCACAATGTTGTAATAATTTTTCACATTAATTAGAAGATTTGATCCTTAAGATAAAATTAGTTTGGGTTCCCCCTTCAGTTCTTTGACAATTACATGAGCAGCATCTTTATCTTGAAACAATTCGGGATGAGACTTTTTGTTTCAAGGAGAGTCTTTGCAAAAACTTCGGTAAATAAGAACTGATCCATAGCAGCCAAAAATCGTTGAGAAACAGAATTAAGTAAAAACTAGTAAAAAAAGAGTAAATGGTGAATAAGTAATGAATATGGCTATTTATTTGAAAAAGTCAAACCGAAGGAAAGTCCCTTCGCATGCATTTTATATTCTGGTTAAAATCATGCAGAATTAGGATAATGGTGATTGTAAATCCTAAAATTACATTTTGCCAGCTGAAAGCCAACAACCACGTTTTTTTCTTGGGATTTTACGAGCCCTCCTTTAGATTGTTCTTATGTTGACTTGATTTGAATCCATGCAACTGGTGTTCAGGTGGAGAATATTATTCCTGGTTCGTTACCATCCTCTGTAACAGGGCCAGTTATTCTAGTCGTGAGCAAAGCTGATGGAGATGAGGAGGTTAGTATAGATCTCTTTTAATTGTATTATGATAGTATATGAATTGTCAAAATATACTTCTCTTCATAGTCAAGTCTCGATTGTTTGGTATATAATTGTTTTCTTTCTGGTTGAATTAATGACCGTGGCAGGTAGCTGCTTCTGGAGCCAACATTGTTGGAGTTGTACTCTTGCAGGAGCTACCTCATTTGTCTCATCTCGGTGTTAGAGCTCGACAGGCAAGTTTTATAATAACCATTTTCTTAGAAAAAAAAATATCAATACGAACAGAGTTGAAGCGTTTATATATAGACGGAAAATAACATTATTTCTGAACTGCAGGAGAAGGTTGTATTTGTTACTTGTGAAGATGACGACAAGATCTCGGATATGAAAACACTGAGTGGAAAATTCGTTAGGTTATGTTTTGGCCTGATTGTTCTCTTTTATCTTGTAGTTATCTTTGAAATTAAAATGAGCTAAAGTATAATAATCATAACTTTTCCTCGAAAATGTTCCCCAGATTGCAAGCATCGACGACAGGTGTCAGCTTAACTCCATCTTCAACTGAGAGCAACAATCGCAACATTTCACCGGAAAATCAAACAACTGCAAATTCAGCCAACTCGGAACGAAACATCCCAGCTTCAATCGTTATCAAAACCTCTGAACTTGGCAAGGTAGTAAAAATGCTAAATTTACTAGATAAACATTTGTTCTGCTTTTGGATACGTACAAATGACCAACAATGCTGATTCAGATCGTATCAAGCAATGGCGTCATATTGCTTGAGAATGCCGACCTACAAACCTCGGGTGCAAAAGCCACAGCCTGTGCTCGTCTGGCTTCTTTGTCTATCGAGTCCAAGAAAGGTAATATATTATATATATATAGGGGCTGGTTCAAATAAAAACTAATTCTTGCGTGAGAACCCAAAGAACCATATTTGATGCTATTTTTAATTGCGTATGACATTATTTTTAATATTAGATGATGCTATCATTTTCACAAATGCTAATATAAATGCTAATATAAATTGTGTTGCCATTTTTAGTAAAACACATCTTCGTTAAAAATAGCACTGAAACACAATCAATCACAACACTTGATAAATTAAAAATAGCGGTTCTCACGATTCTCACGCTAGGACTTGGTTCTCATTTGAACCACATCCTACATATATACAATTTTGCTTCCTTTTGAGCATCTTCCCAAAATCCCCAGATAACCAAAATTTTTTCCGAAATTCGAAACTAAACACTAAACAGCATACAACGAACAAGGAGTCCCGGCCTCATTCAAAGTCCCTACCGGCATTGTCCTCCCGTTCGGCTCCATGGAAGCCGCCCTCCACCTCAGCGGCTCCACCGAAACCCACGCCTCCCTAATCCGACTCATCGAAACCGCCGAAGCCGACCAACTCGACTCCCTATGCACTGAGCTCCAACGCCTCGTCTCCTCCCTCACCCCACCCGAACAAACCCTCCTCGCCCTCTCCCAAACATTCCCCAACAAAACCGCCATCGTCCGGTCGAGCGCCAACGTGGAGGATCTCGCCGGCATGTCGGCCGCGGGCCTCTACGACTCCGTCCCCAACGTGGGCCCGGACCCGGCCGAGCTCGGGCGGGCCGTGGGCCGAGTGTGGGCCTCTCTGTACACGCGGCGGGCGGTGATGAGCCGTCGGGC